AGTGACTATTAGCAATTAATGTATGGAAATAAATTGCATCATAGCAGTTTTGAGCCTCAACAGTCTTATAAAAAGTCTCTTTTAAGTAATCTATAACACACTAAAGCTAGGGGATGTCCCAGCACTGCCAGAAACAATTCTACCCTGAATTACTGTAAGTGCCTAGTACAAAAAATCAGTATAAAGTTGAAGAAGGCAGCGTGCTGCCTCTGAATATCTTTCTGATCCACAGAAAGGACAGGCTGTGTCTTCTGGAAGAGGCACCAGCTGAAGCAACACTACTATCAGCATTTTTTGTCAAGTAAGTCACTTCAGGTGATAGGCATAGGCCTGATTCCACCACAAATAAAACTATTCTGTACTGGAGCAGAACACTGCAAACTTCTGCCTCAGGGGGCCAGAGCAATTATTCCAGAGGGAGAAATAAAGTCTGCAAATAGGCCCTCCAAGAGATAAAAATAAGTCCAGTGGAGTACACTAGGGTCTATACTTTCTAGACAGACCTGACAAATTTGTTCTTTCTGACCTCCATTTCCTCCCACCAAAGATGTGCAATCCTGACTTCCCAAGCAGCAATAATAATGAGAATCAAAATATTCCTACTTAAAACTGGTCATCAGTGGAGGTTAAAGGATATGAAGAGGGAAGGCAATACTTAAACAGAGGGCTGGAATTTCGTTTTGGTACCTAACAGATTGGAGTTCCCAATCTTGCCGCTAAGCTTAGCTACGTCTATTCCTAATGCCATCAGTGGTGTAGGTGGCAGCATCTCTCAGCTCTCCCAGAGATGCGGTGCTTCACTGTCCTTACGCAAGGAACTCGTACCCTTCAAATAAAGATCTGTGCTGGAAAGTCTTATGCTGCATGAAATAGACTAATGAATCAAGGCGCTTCAGTGTTTGATGAGACCAGCCTTTTCGCAGCCATCAACGTTTGATGAAAGCATGATGTGCCAAGAAGAGCTGCTGGGCATGAGCAGCTTCTGCAGCCCGCCCAGAAGGGCCAGGAGGAAGAGCTAATCAGCACTTCCTGCACCAAGAGCAAGAAGTGCTCAAACACATGTGACAGCACCGTTGTCTGCAATTGATTTGAGGATGTATGTTCACAATAACCCCTGACAGGCTGCTGAGATGGATTGCAGTAATGTCAAGGACTTTGAGATAGCTGTTGTTTCTGTAAACAGTTTGTCCTAGGACACAGTGCCATTGGGAAAGCCTGTTGAGATCAGAGAGCGAACACAAGTTTGGCAAAATATGAGCAAACTCAATACATCACTCAATACATCACTCAATAGATCACAAAATCCATACTAAAAAACCACATCGGTTGTGTACTTACACAACTCCCAGTGAATGAGAGCAGTTAGCTGCCTTCCCTTTCTGAGCCCTCTGATGCCCAACTTGGTGTTTAAGAGTGTTTTCCAAAAGTCCTACAGTACCCAGTGTTTTTTCCACGACTCTCAATTACCATACAAACAGACAGCAAACCTCCAATTACGTAACTAAGGCAGAAAGAGAAGCAGAATCCATCTTTTACAACCTCACAGGGACACAGCGTCAAACCAGCTTCTCCAATAGTCCAAGGTTTCGATACACTGCAGGTTTAGTTTCCGTTTCAGTATTTTATTTCTCACCCTTTTTATATCAATAGAGAAATAAAGCAAATTTTAAGAGCAATATGGAAACAGATAAAAAATACTTCAAATATAACAAAAATTACTTCTAATGTGAAAACTAAATAGTCATGCAACATGGTGCAGAAATGCAGTTTACATTTACTGCTCCACAAAAAAAAACAAAAACAAAAAACAAAACCCACAGAGTAGATCAAATGAACTGCTCCACCAGTTTAGAAAGGTGAGGCAAGTTTGGCCACCTTTACTTCACTGATGCAGTACAATGATCTAACAGCCAACACACAAACCCACATCAATGTAAGAAGTTGCAAAGAGATCATCATCATGACTACCTGCCAGGTAGAAGAATTACAGGGTCAAAGAAAATGTGTTTCTTGAAGAAAGAGGCTGGGAACAATTGAGGAATTGCCTCGCTGACATGACAAAAGGGAATCTCAAATTTCTCCAGACAATTTTAAACTTGTTTATTTGAAAGGTCCTTTACAGAAAATGAGAGGAGAGATTAAAAGCAAATAAACAATAAAACTGGTAGAAAAAGAGGCATCAGAACATTGCAATAGATGCTGCTGTTTATACTTCGTGAGGTCTTAAAAACACAATGTTGCATTAAGATTCTGGCACTGTTTGCGCTTAAAATTGAGTCAGTGGGACAGGAACATACCAGACAATCACAGAACCACCAAGGTTGGCAAGGACCTCCAAGATCATCCAGTCCATCAGTGCACCTATCATCAATATTTCCCACTGAACCATGTTCCTCTGTACAACATTAGTTTCTTGAACACCTCCAGGGATAGTGACTCCTCCACCTTCCTAGGCAGCCCATGCCAGCACCTGACGGCGCTCTCAAAGAAGCAGTATTTCCTAACACACAACCTGAATTCTCTCCTGGTGCAAGTTGAGGCCATTCCCTCTTGTACTATTGCCAGCTACATGGAAAAGGTTGACCCACACCTCACCACAACCTCCTTTCAAAGAGTTGTAGAGGGCAATAAGGTCTCCCCTGCACCTCCTCTTCTCCAGGCTGAGAAGGTGCTGCAGGGCCTCCATGCCTTTCTTGTAGCGAGGGGCCCAACACTGAACACAGCACTCAAGGAGCAGCCTCACAAGAGCTGAGTACAGAGGCACAATCTCTTCCTGCTCCTGCTGACTGCACCATTTCTGATACAAGTGAGGATGCCACTGGCCTTCTTGCCATTGGCATTGACCTGGGCGCACTGCTGGCTCACATTCAACTAAGCGTTGTTCAGTACCCCAGGTCTGTTTCCTCTACACAGAGGAAACCAGTCACTCCAACCCAAGCCTCTACTGTTGCCTGAGGTTGCTGTAGCCAAAGCACAGGACCTGGCACTCGGTCTTGCTGAACCTCATCCCATCCTCAGCCCAGCAATCCAGCCTGGCCAGATCCCTCTGTAGGGCCTTCCTACCCCAAGGCAGATCAACACTTCCAGCCAACTTGATGTTATCTGCAAACTTATTGAGGATGCACTCAATGTCCTCATCCAGGTCATCAATAAAGATATCAAACAGGACAGGTCCCAATACCAACCCCTGAGGAAGACCACTTGTGACTGGTTGCCATCTGGTGTTTACTCCATTCACCACCACTTTCTGAGCCAATCCAGCCAATTTTTTACCCAGCAAAGAATGTGCCTATCCAAGCCATGGGCTGCCAGCTTCTCCAGAAATCACAACAATCAGAAGGGTCATCTGGAGATCATTGAGCCCAATCTCCTGCTAAAGCAGGCTGCTACCCTACAAGTAGGCTGCACAGGAAAGCATTCAGGAAGGTCTTGGATATCCTCAGAGAAGGAGGCTCCACAGCCTATCCCAGACAGCCTGTTCCAGTGTACTGTCACTTCACAGTAAATAATTTTTTTCATGTTTGTATGGAACTTCTGGTATTCCAGTGTTTGCCCACTGCTCCTTATTCTGTCACCACACATCACTGAAAAAAGCCTGGCCCCATCCATTTGTCTCCTGCACATCAGATACTTCTAAACATAGACAGTATCATCTTTCAGTTTTGGCTGAACAGTCCCAGGTTTCTCAGCCTTTCCTTGTATGGAAGATGCTCCAGACCCCTCATCATGTTTGTGGCCCCTTGCTGGACTCTCTTTTGAATATCCCTGTCTTCTTCGAAACACAGAGCCCAGAACTGGACAAAGTGCTTTAGATGCAGCCTCACCAGGGCAGAGTAGATGGGGAGGATCACCTCCCTCAACTTGCTGGCCACATTCATCTTAACGCATCCCTAGATTCCACTGGCCTTCTTGGCCACAAAAACACACTGCTGGCTCAGGGCCAACCTGTTGTCCATCAGGACACTCAGGTTCTTCTTCTCAGAGCTTCTCTCCAGCAGGACAGCCCCTAACCTGTACTGATGCATGCAGTAATTCCTCCCCAGCTGCAGGAACCTACATTTAGTCTTGTTGAACCCCACTCTGTCCAACTCTCCAGTCTGTCTTGTTCAATGGCAGCACAGCCTTCTAGTGCTTTCCTGCTTTCACAATACGGATTTTGGTGTTAAGTGTCAAAACCTTCAGTTCTTCTTGATGAGAAAATGGATGCATTCTTACACAATTGTTCTGAGCTGCTTGGAGGAAAAGGGTTTGCCAGCACTGCTGAAGTAAATTTCAGCAATGTTTAAAAGCAGCTCACCACCGTTAACAGCCTCTGGTCCCTCATCTCTGACTTTAAAGACAGACAAGAGACTTCACTGTTGGAAAAGCTGACAATCATGAAATTTTACAGACATGATAAAAATCTTCTGACACTGAACATCTCTTCCTAATATCCCATAAAGTTAGGATTAAGTACACAGTCTGTTGACACATAATGTTAATGAATTAAAGATGTATCATCATGACTAATCAGATTAATCACAGCCATTGAAGGACTCAGAAGGGCTCAGTAAGGAAGGAATGTGAGCTTAAAACTTGAACTTTCCTTTGAAACAGTATTTGAATGGCATGTTCCAATTTGTTTGGCATGTTTTAGGTTGCTGGGTGTTACATACATTCTTATTCTGCAACTTGTCACATGTCACCAGATGTTGCCAGCCTCCACAGGGAACTACTATGCTGGTCAAATAAAGGTAGCCACCTTTGTTAGACCAAACATCTCTACTTCTACCTGACCACCTCAATTGCTCTTGAGATCCCTGTGTTATGCAGCTAGATATGGCAGCAAGAAGACCTCCATCCAAGCTTCTTCAGGAAAGTTATTATCTGCACCACGTGGCCTCAGTGATGTTAAGGTCAGGAAGAAACCACCTAAACAAAAAGAAATGGAGGAAACTCAGGAGATGGCTGCCAACATACAATATATATCTGGGGAAAGTGATGTTATTCAAGAGCACCGATTCAAAAATTGAATAGTTATTTATTGTTCCAGAAGTACATTGCTCTTTTATACATATTTCATAAATGATACAGGATTTTACACATTTTCAGGTTTTTTTTGTGTGTGTTTTTTGTGTTTTCTTAAAGAAGGACTTTTCTCCATGCTCCCTCCCCCTCATCCCAAACACACACCATGGATTCAGCTACAGGATTGTGTTCATTTTTTTTTCCCCTTTAAAACTCATCACACAAACAAGATATAACAGATAAAAAATAATCTCACAATGTAATTAAACTGAAAGACAGAGGAAAGGGGGAAGGGAGAAAAAAAAACTAGAAACATGCACCCATTCGGTCCAACATGCCATTGAGTGAGAATAGGCAGCAATCCCAGCTGTATTTCCATATCTGCAAGGCACCTGGCATCTGCTTAACATGATTTCTGTTTGACTTTTGCTGCTGTTCTTTTTTTTTTTTTAAACACAGTTCTCAAAAAAAAAAAAAAAAAAAAAAAAAAACAAACCAAAAACAGAAGCTTCTTTCCATGACACAGTGAGGAACAGTAGTGAAATTTCAAAAAAGCAGCAAACTTTTCTGCATATAAAGCTTAGTGCCCTTCTCCCACCTTCATCTTGTCTCCACAGTATTTATCAGTAGGATGCTAAAGAGACTGACCAGCTTTGAATAAAGATGAGTTCTATCTGCTTGGCTGGAAGACAGGGCAATGGGTTGATTTTCCTTCCTCCATTTCTTTTAGCTAAGAACAAGAGATGTCATTAGCCAACCCTACGAAATCATGACCTGTGGGTGCAAAGGTCATTTAAAGCTACTCGAGTAGGGGAAGTGCAGGAGAACTGAAGCGGTTATGCACTGTAAGAGCCCCGGGCTTTCAAAAAGCCTTTGGGTGAGGAAAATGCTTTGACCATGAGACCTTTCATTCCATTATACAATCAAATATCAAGTTTAATTATATCACATTCCAAAACTGTTCAGCTAAGCAGGAGTCATGATTCTGAGACAGTTTCTTAATCCTTTAAGCCTTCATAATTCCGTAGTCCAGGTGGCTATCAGATTTGGTGTAAGAGGGGAATCTCCCTCCCGTGAGACTGAATATTATAACTCTCATGCAATGCTGCCATTTATTTCTAGAAGGAACTCAAGGGCATTGGGACACAAGTTTATATAGTTATTATGGAATACTCCAAAATACCAATTATCAAATGTCCAAAAGAGAACTTGTTCCTTCTCTCACTTGGCTCACAGTCTGTGCTACGAATAAGCAAAGGAGGAAAATGGAGCACATGGGACAGGGCTGGGGAGGGAAAGCTCACGGTTTTCCAGTAGAAAGCAGTCTTGTAGTAACTTTATAAAAGAGACCAGGTCTGATCAGAAGTGTGCGTGTTAATGGCGGTGGAGCGCAAGATCTGATCACCAGCCATAGCTCCAGGTGGCGTGGATTCTTTGTTCTGCTTTTTTTTCCCTTTTTTGTTTTGTTAAGAGAGAAAGAGAGAACTGAGTCAGGTAAAGGAAACTTTAAAAAGCTAAGCAGGCTGCTGGTGTCTTATCAGGAGGCAGACTCTGCAGAGCTGGAAGAAGACATCCCTGCCCCAGCATTACATTCTTTTCATGAACCCCCCCAATCCTGTATTTGTACACAATTGCCGTTCACACGGTTTTAAATATGACTATTTGCCAAGCCCTTTTCGGAACTAACATTCCACAATGCCCCATCTTCAAATTTAAGAGATTTCCCCTTACAGTCCTTTATCTTGATTAAAGGTTAAAAAAAAAAAAGCCAACCAAAACCCCTCCACCCACACACCACCTCCCAGCTTCCACCTGCAATGCTTTAATTTAAAAGGCAAGAGCTATGAACAGGTTTTTTGCCAGAGTTCAGAGCTTCTTTGCTGATCAGTCCTTTTCATCAATTTGCTGGATGGGCAGGTGAACCTGCAGTGGATCTCGAAGCCTCTTAAGGTCCAATTCTGCCTAAAAGCAAAATAAACATTATAAAGAAGAGGCTACCAATACACCTTTCCCCAACCCAAAGCCCCTTCCTAAATTGGAAATAATTTATGTATTTTCTCATTTTTCTTGCCTGGAAGGGAAGAAAAAGTCACAGGCTCAGATCTGGGAAAACCATTTCTATCAGTTCAAGACCCTTGCATTGCACTTCTATCAACTTGCTAACATGCAACCACTTCAGAAGGAATATGGTAGGAAAGAACTGATCCCCTTGAACTTTCGTTTTTGTTTTAAAAAGAGCTAGATTAATGGGAATGGCTAAGACTGTCAGTAATGAATAGCACAAGAAAACCTTCAGTCTTTCACACAGTCTTGTTCTGATCTTTCTCTGCTCTTCACAAAAGAGCTCTCTGCTCTCCTGCTCCAAAAAAAGAGGGATAACGCATCTTGCCTTGGATATGTCCTACATTGTCATTTCCAGAGCTTGAGAATAAACAATGATACAGAAGAATGAGAAAGTGGACAGAGAAAGTGGTAGTTCTGCTTTTCCTGCTCATGCCTTCTATTAATAGAAAGTCTCTCAAAAATGAGGAGAAATATCTCTGCTGCTCAACTCTTCTGTTTATCAGATCCCACACTGGGAATAGTCTTACTTCAAGTATCTTCCCCTACAAGAAATTTGCCATCACTTCTAGCAATGAGACTTTCTTGAGCAGTATTTTCCAGGTCTTCAATTCAGTGCAATGAATTGCTGTTAGGGAGAAATAAACTGAACGGATGCAAGTTTTCAGCCCTCACTAAATCCATCTGGTATGTAGGAACTGAGAAGAAAGCAACTCTTGGAACCAAGCTCCTTTGAGGCATGAAGTGCCTGAAGCAACTCAAAGTTTGCTACCAGTCTCTAAAAAGGCCATTACAGACAGATACAGGGAACTGTTTCATGTTGATTTACACTTCTAGCTGTTCTATTCCTGGGCACATCAAAGCTAATTCAGTGATTGCACTGGAGCTGTGACAAGAAAATAAGCTGAAAACCTAAGAACCATTCTCATCTGAGGTGCATCTATTAATAACAGATGAACTCACAAGCAGTAATTTGCCTTATCTATGGAAAAAAACTCTTTATTACCTGAGCAATTGCATCCTTGAGTTGATTGTATTTCTCTAGATCAAATCGTGACTTTTTGGCTCCTTTATGGAAAAATAGTAAGTACTGTCTGTCTCTTGCATCTGGATAAACATACTCCTAAAAAAAAAAATAAAATAAAATAAAGAAGGTAAGAATAACGCATCACAACATGGGATACTATTAGTACAGTACATAACAGATGTGTTTTGGAAGTTAAGGCATAAAACCAGACTGCATTGACTAAGCTCTCTGCCAGTGAGGTGAGGTGACCCTAGCTAGTAGCTAGGCTCCCACACAGTCACTTGTCCACCTCTCTTCAGCAGAATCACTGAAAGAATCAGAAGGGCAAAAGGCAAGAACTGGAATCCAATACCACAGCTTTTATAGGGACACTCTATTGCAAGAGGTCACAACTTTTTGGAGCACAGATAACCCTAAGCAGCAGAGCTGTTAACACCAAATCCCACATAGCCTCAACACAAGTCTGCCTGCTGAAATTAACTTTCCCTTGCACTGGCTTATCACACAGCTTCCATCTGATATGCATGCAACGATGAGGCTGCCAGGTAGAAAAAAGCTGTTTTCAGACTTCTGAAACAATGAGATTTCAAGTCTGGCAAATAAGTAGTAGCTGATGACAACGTTTTCTGCCATATTTGAACTCAGTATTTTAAGTTACAACTGTACCTGAAAAAAAATATTGTGTCAAAGGCAAATGTGTTCAGCCCCTCAAGTGACAGCAGAGCCCTGGGACACTGTGCTGGATACACACAGTATTTATTCTAGTGGTCTTGCAACAGCAGAGACTGAGCCCTTACTCCCTAGGATTATTTCATTTCAGAAGGAATGGTGAGACAAATCACATAACAGAAATCTCCACAGATAGTGGATAGATAGACAGATAGCCTGTCACAACTACAGGAACCCAGAAAAGCATAGATCTGCTTTGTGCAAAGGTTTTGCAATATTGGAGCAGACCTAGTTTTTGAAGAGACTGAGCCTGCTAGTCAATGAATCTGGAATTGCACCAAGAAGCATGCATTCAAATGTAGCTGCTTCATTTGGTTAGGAGGTGAGATCCATGAGACACGTGAATAAAAGGTATGCCTAAAATGATTTTTGAGCCTTTCTTGTCTCTTCAGAAATAGTTTACTCATATTGGAGATGTGTACTTCCCTGAAATTCATTTGGTATCTCAGATTATTTGGGCTGGTAAGTCACCATTTACAGGCCCTGGTGCAAGTCAGCATGTGTGCATGCATGCAGAAACCACTGTCTGCCAATGAATGAACTGTACAGCTGAAGCACTCAGAGGATGCACATGAAAGCTTATGGTAACACAACCAGGAAATGAGCGAGGACCAGCACCAGAAAAGGCCCCATCATAAGCTCCAATAGGGCTAGGAAGAGGCAAAGTAACTTCCAGAAAGCATGATTTTGCTATTTTCCTGGGCAGTAGAGTTCAAATACAGTCTTCTATTGAAGCATCGACGTCAGCACTACGAGTCCTACCTGGCGAGTCATTACGAAATAAGCATACATTGCCATGGCACTACCATAGGTGATGAAATAGGTGACTGGTTCCATAATGTCCCAAGAGTATTCCCACCAGGTGAGGCGGGCCAGAATCCCAAACTGAGTGGCCATGTAGGCCAGCCCTCCCCACAACACCAAGGTTGTCCTCTTCTCTGCTTTCCTGCTGAGCTCCAGCCTTACCTGCCAAAAACAGATTAAAAAGAGTTGATATCATTAAGAGAAAACTTAAAAATAACACATCTGTATTTAATGCTACATTGTGACATAACTGAGTTTAGGTTACATAGACAACTTTAGACTTATTTTCTATCAGTATCTCGCAATCACTCTTATTTTACTCTGAGTATATTTTGGATGCTTTGCAAAGGTTCTTCCACCTCTGTGTTCACAAATGTTCTGTTGAACGAGAGTCCCAGTCTGCAATAACAGGTTCATTTCTTATTACAGAGGAAGGAAACCATATTTCTGCAGACATCAGAAACAAATGTGGTTTGTTATATGAAGTGGCAATTTTTCCTTCAGCCATTTTAAAACTATTTGAAGCATGTTAGAGCTTAATGAAAACATAGAAATAAATTGAGCATGCATTTGGAGGATAAGTAAAACACCATGAGAAGTTTCTCACTTTTTCTAGTGGTGCTAGTTGCTCCTTCAATTCCTCTAGTCTCCCTATGAGTTCCTTCTCTTTGTTCAGCTGGTGCTCCTCGATGCACAAGGCAGTGTACAACTGCTGAACCAATGTCTTGACATCATTCAGCGTGGTTGCGTTCTCATGGCTTAAGAGCTCTAGGAAAGAAAAAGACTGCTTTGTGTGCATTTACCCACAGGACTCCTTACTCACCCTTCAGAAACTGCTATTCTTCTGCGGAGGAAGCATTTGGAACAATCTTTTCAATACAAAAGCTTTGGAAGAACTCCAGCACACTAAGACAATGCGACATCTTCAAAAGTAAATTAGGCTTTATTATTGGATATTCCTGAAGTGTGAGAAGAACAAAGAAGATGTATGCTAGTAGTTTGCTAGAGATGAACAGCTGCTTTAGATCCGTACCTGTATGCAAGACTCAAAAGCAAATGAACCACTAGTACGATCCTCTGCACCAGCTGTCAAGAAACAGCCAGAATTCAAGCTGCAAACTGTACTCACTGACAGTGGCAGCTGTTGATCTTAGGTTAGCAGCCTCAGAACACGCAGTCTTATAGTTACTTCAAGTAATGATTGCCTGGAGTTGTTTCCCAACACACAGTGGACAAACCCACTATTTTGAGCTGCCTAAGGGATAACGAAAGCCTCTCTCACTACATTTAAGACAACAACACGGCTGCTAACTGGAACACCCTGTAATCCTATACTTCAGTACAAAAAGGATTCCTAAAAGAAATCAGCTTACAAAGAAGTTGTGACTAGCGGTACTGAATTACATACTCCATATGGAGAAACTAAGTTTGAAGCAAAAAATCTCAACATTAGTCAATTAAAATCAAAATACTAAAAAATTGTAGCATCTCTTGGCTTGAACCTTAGGTTGTCTTAAGTACCATTTTATCAACACTAACAGAAAATTTGCAGCAACTCACATTCTGGGAAGGGTAAAGTCGGGCTATACCTGAACAACAAACAGAAGAGTTTTGACTCCTAATAGCTTGAGCTTTAACACTAGCATACCCAGAGAAAGAAATGACTCAGTAGTGTGTGCCAAGGCAAGTGGTAGGCATAGGCAAACACCACCCATTCCCATCTAAGCATCTTCTATACCACTGTGAAGAAAAAAAACCTTTGTCAGCTTATGAAGTCATCATTAAGAGGTCCTTAGTATTTAAAGGTACTCTGTCCTGGCATTTACATTTCGGTATAAACAGGGTGATTGTGTTAAAATGGAAAAGCAATATCTAAGAAGTTGAACAGAACTAATCTCAGAGCCTATTTACAGGCACAAATTTTAATACAAGCTAACTATAGAAATCTCCTAGGCAAATGAATCAGAGGCAGCAATTTCATGTAACCTAGGTGATCCCTGAGCTCACCTGCCAGCACAGTGTGTATATCATAAAAATGAGTTAACCAAGATGATATCAGCTCCTTGACACAGACTTGGTTCTCTCCAGCAGTAGCTGTGTGGGACATACAAATTGGCTTGCCCTGGGACAACAGCTGGAAAAGATGTCTTCTTCAAATCCTCACCCCACTTCTCTGGCTTATAAGGTCTTAAGTATGCAAAAACACAACATCCGGGATACAGTACACAGGGGGTGAGAGAGAAAAGAGCAACAGTCTTTGGGAGGTTCCACAAGCGAGTTAAATACCCAAGTCTTTATGAAAAGTTCTCTTACAGTGGTTTTAAGGAGACTGGAGAAAAACCACCTTTAGCAGAGGTCAGCCTAATGTAGTAAAGAACTGGGACCGCATCCAATGCTGCCCTCCCAAAATTGGTGTTCCTGCATGCTAAGTGTACAGATCCCTGAATCATCAGCAAAAAATTACAAATTTCTACACTGTGAACAATAACGCACTACAATTGATTTTTCATTTCCAACATTTGAAGTACCAATCTTCACTGTCAAACAAGAGAATGATTCTTAAGTCAGCTAACATTAGTTTTAGGCTAATTCTCATTTTGTATTCAACTACCTCACAGAAAGTTAACTATTAGATTACTTTTCCCTTCATTTCTTCATTCATTCATCTTATAGGGAATAACCGCCTTGAACGGAATGAACATTTGCTTTTCATCATTCCCTTACGACTACTCGGATACAGCTAAATTAGACTGCATAGGTAGGATCACAAACTACAAGGTTTCCTTCAAAAATACTCCACATTCTCAAACATGCATATTAAGTTGTTTTTACTATCTAAGAACCAGGCTGATTTACCTCTCTTTGGTGGTCTAACATGATATGTGATGTCATTGATGATCAGTTTGAAGTCATCCAGTAGAAGCAAATCTATGCCCGTGGAGGAAGCAACACGGGTGCCATCTGTAAGGCAAACAGACATTAGTACAATGACCTAAACAAGTTGCAACATTATTTCACATTTGACTGTTTTAACATTATCTCATCATATTTGACTGTTGGACTTCAACATTTTCCTGCAGACAACACTTTTTGGAGCCAGGCAAAGAGAATTTGCAGGGCAAACCCAAGATGAGCTATGATGAAGCTGCTTTCTAAATTGGTAATATTTTCCCATAAAAGGCAATTTCTTTAATCTCTGCAGCTTGAGTGTTTTACCAAACGTAAGCAATAAAATCCATTTAGGGGACCTTCACTCCTTCCCACAGACATTACAGATGATTATTTCCACCTCCAGTATTGGGCAGTTTTGACTTCGTTAACTTAATAAACACCTCTCTCAGGCCAGGACTTTCAGCCCCTTAGATAGACTCCCATAAGACATCCTAATAATGTCCCAGAGCTTTGATGGCTAACAGATGCATAGTAATTGAGCAAAACACTGAAATAAGCCATTAAGTGAAACATAGCAGCATTCATAGATAAATAAGAAATTCATTCCCTTGTACCACAATTCACACCTAGTTCCCTACAAATTGATTAGCAACTCCATACAGGCAACCTGCACCTTCAGAATAAACACTTGGAAGCTCACCTGAAATATGGACATCAGTCCTAGTAGAGATAAAAACGGGACCTTGGCAAAATTAAGGCTTTCAGACAAAACCACCCATAGAGCAGCTGCTTACATGCTGTAAGTAGTGTGAACATAGGCTTATAATTTTTTCACTTCCTTGTTACATAGCAACGTGCATTCTGCATATAAACTTTGTGTTATCAACTGCCTCAAACAGAAATGCCCCAGTATGGTGGTGTAAATTTGCAGCACAGGCTACCACTACGTTCACTGTGTGTTTTTAAGTCATTCAAACTGCAAATAGAGATGCAACAAAGACAATGTCTTTACTGTAAGAGAATCTTCAAGGCTGAAGCTAAGCGTTAAGAAACATTTTTGCTCCTCTTTCACACTACAATTAGATTTTCTTGACAGACCTGACACCAGAGTCAGTTAGTGGAACATTCCTACTCCAGAAACGACGTTTCCACTTTCTTGGGAACGTTTGAGAACCCACACCATGTCAAGCTTTTACTTAAGAAGGGAAAGGCTGGATGAAAATGCCTGACAAGTAAATCAATTACTTTGTAAGCAAGAGTACCTGCTGAGTAGATCGCAACCCGATCAATTCCTCGGTCCTCTGCTTGCAGCTGTTGTAAGAACACACCAACAGAGTCTGAGATAGGTTTAAGAGTGAACTGGCAACGTTCGCGCCGAGATGGAAGATGCACAGAAATCACAGGTAAGCCATTTTGGTAAACCACCGTCACTTCTATAAAAAAAAAGAAAAGATGAAAATAAAGTTATCCAAAAAATAAGCAGATCTTCTCATAGTAGTTTGTCCCATGGAGACAAGGATAAAACGGTTATGAGCTGAGCAGAAAGCAAAGTAAATTTTCAGCTCACTGTCTACCAATGTCCTTCAGAAACAAAAAATACCCTAAGTGATGTTAGAGTTTTTTCACTCCATTTTACTTGGCAGCATGTGTTACACTCTCAGAGATTCATGGAAAAGTAAAAGAAGGTATTTATTTAGTCTAAGCACAATCACCTTCATAGCAAAGGCAGCATGGCACGTATTGGTTAGATTTTGAGAACCAATGTATCTCAAGACTGTGCAAGACCAATCCATGCACTATTTGGAGGGATTTATGGCCCGAAAGACAAAGGCAGGTGGTATACATTAGGAAATATCAAGGAAAGCTTACTTTTCTTCTTGTTAAGTTCCAGTTTCCTGCTCTTTGTCTTCAAGCAACAAATATTTAAGAGAGTTGTCAGGAGTATGAGGTTGTAGGAACAGCACTCTGAGTTTAAGTTTCAAGGTCACTTCATTTAAAATTCATGGGATCAATACACTTTGTACTTCAGAAGACAGACATTATTTCTTCAGTGTAGATAAAACAATCTTTTCCATTTCCTTAGTGTTGTCAGGAGCTTTTTCAAAAGTGTTCTCAAGGATTTCAGTGCACCTTCCTATAATTTATTGTGGTGATCTGTATGAACTGTAAGCTAGTTATTATCTTACTGCCAGAAAGACAACCCTCTCCAGGCACTTCAGGATATCCATACATTGAAAAGTTGGAAGTTCACTTCCCTAAGCCCCTTTATTGAGTCATGAACAGTCAAAAATCTCCTCAAACGTAGCAATTGTTAAGTTATAGTGAGCACACCTAAAAACGATTCACTTGAAATTGTTGCATTTTTTTTTTTAATGTAAAAATGTGCTGTCATTTTTGTTGCAAACTGTGCCTCCATGATTATGCAGTCACCACCACTCACACTGCACCTGATGTTTCCACCTGTTGTAGTTTTGGCCAGCAGCACAAACCACACCATCGATAAGGGCTGCTCCTAAACTAATGCCTCCCATTTTATTCTGTTGGCCCTTGACATCAGACACACAGCGGTGATACGACAGTAAAAGACTGAACCTTCCCACCAGTATCCCATTCTATTTTGTTGCTGTGCAACAGATGGCAGCACAGGGTCTGTCTGACCAAAAGGAGTCTAATATGGGAGGATGTGTGAAGCCAAGGCGTGGAACTGAATTCTTCCATGCAGAAATAATGGTACCCACTGACATTCATTGATATTTGCTGAACACTCATGGAGACCAAACAGAAGATGTGAGCACAGCGAGGCGCTGGGTGCTGTGTTTCAGCTGAGGCAACTGTGGGTCACTTCCACTGGCGCAGATGGTTATGAGCTCAGCACAGAAGCTCTCGTTCAGCACTGATGAAAACGTGAAGGTGAGGGCAGTGACTATGTTGAAAAAGTGTTTTGTAGCTGAGAATTTGCTGCATCTAAATGTTGTTGTGCTCTTTGTATGTGTTGCAGTTTCCACAGAATAATGAGGCGCTACTTTCAGAGTAGCCTGCATACCTTAGCTCACCTAATGCCTGTGCTGACTACTAGTCAAGCAACTAATATGAAAACCAGTTGGCCAAAAAAACTCAGAGGAAGTGGAAGAGAAGTAAATTCAACCAACAAAGGAAGCAATTCTCAGCATTCTGCTATTTAGAAAGCTCTGCAACGAGAGCCTTCCTACCTCCCCCTTAGCGTTACCTGCCATTAGATGATGAACTCGTTTGTAACAGGATTATTTGCATACTGGGACACATCTTGGGGGCAACATGTGGTTGTTTTTTGTTTTTTTTTTCTGAAAAAGGAGACTCTCAGATGTTGAAAAAAGCTACACAACGTATCACATTATTGCACTATAAGAGGGACTCACTCAGGTGTTTAGCTTACCATCACACACCTTCAAAATTTGCATGAAGCATACAAAGGCTTTCTCCACTCTTCCAGGAGATTGCTATGTAGTGCTGGCAGACATGTCCTCATGCCATCGCTAAGACTAGGTGGAAGTGACCAGATACGGATATCTAAAATGACTAAAGCATCTCAAGAGGTCTGACAACTCAGAAAGGGATAAAAACTTATTCACAAGACTCTGACACACCTGACAGGATTTCAGTAGCATCACTGTTTCAATTCTTAAAATTCAGAAGATATTTACTGAAAAAATAAAGCACTGCCAGTTTATTTGGACAGTTAGACAGAATTTCAAGCTCCATATCAGCAGCTGTTGTGACACCAGCCATCAGATTTTGCTGTCTTTGACTCAAGTATTTGAGAAAAAGGCTGGTAAGAAATAAATCAGCATCAACTTACCCTTCTGATTTCTCTACAAAAGGTAGGATCAACACATTTATAAGCTTATAACAGCTACTTAGGCACTGACTTCATTGATTCTGTGAGCAGCACATACAATATTAACTTATGAACTGCTTATATAACTACATGACTGCTGCAGAGAACTCACTTGACACAAGAAACAACTTAAAATGCTATCTTGATCACACAGGCAGTGAGCAAGTTTACTGGAGAATAGAGGAGCATTTACACCAACTCTTTTCTGTTCATCCTGGTGGTGCAAGCCAGCAGCCCAGTTCTGTGAATGCCAGTTGTGAAGAAAGCACACACAGCCCCAGTCTGGTGACATTTTAACTCTTCACAACCCAGATGGAGATGGAGACCACAGTGACAGATGCAATAGGTCAGACTGTACCAACAGTTACCATCAGCAGTAGCATGCACAAAATCTCTTAGCTTCAACAGCTTAAGGGAAGCATTGTAGCACTAATTGTTTCCTTCCAGCAAGCCCAGAATTACAGCTGTCTTATGTTTTCCTTACAAGAATCTTTTAGAAGTCTTTATCTAGCTTAATTCACTGGTACTAAATTCTACAATTGCAGTTTGATCCTCTCATCATCCCCCACACAAGAGGTCTGGTCCAGTTTTTACCACACTGAAGAGGAAAGAGCTCAGAAGGAAGTTAAAAAAAAAAACAACAACCAACAAACAGTAAATAGAACACCTGAAGGACTTGTCAATAACACAAACCTAACAAGGAATAACAGAGCTCCATTAAAAGTTATTAACTGTCAATATGGCTGTCTGCTTTGCTTCCTTCTGCTCTGACAGTGCTATCAATGGTCTGCAAGAGGAAAACGACCATGAAGGGGCCAAGACTTCTTATACAAACATGTATTTAATATAATATTTCCATCATATTTATAGAATTATAATTAGTGAGGTGTCAAAATGCTTCATTCACTTACTTGCAGTTTAGAGGTAATACCTGGGCTAATCATTACCGATCAAGTTTCAGGCCACTATTTAAATGCATGTACAAGTAATTGTATACAAGCACTTAAGTTTACAGACTACCTACAACCTGGCCAGGAGCACTGCTAAAAATGACTAAGGATAATTTTGAAAGCTTTACATGCTATATTAAACATGAGCTTGCTTTGAGGTATGAATTCCATCCATGCACCACAGTTTTGAAGTGTATGTTCTCCAGCAAAAGGGCTCTTGAGCACTTTATAAAGCAAGCTATAAGAAAAAAAAAAAAAGTATGAAGAAAAGAAAAATCTGTATTGAGCCCATTCTGCTGGTAAACACAGAGTTATTGGGAAAAGTAACAAGGAAAATATTCAAGCATAATATAACAAGAGATTCACCAAATCAAGCAAGTAGCTATACACAGATTATTCTCTCAACCTTGTATTTGCCCCCTACTCTTCCACCTGTTTAAGCCTTCCAGTTCAATTACTACCAGTTCTCCACAGCAGTCCTGTTCCCTTTGTTTTTGCACACAGTCACTATCCCAGCAGGGGAAGCAATTGCAGCAGAGCCCTTTACTTTGTTAGCTTTCAGGCTTTATTAACAAGCTTCAATGGTAAGAAGATCCACTAACTGCTTGTGTCTGTCAGCATAAGCACTCCAGTCTCTGTTCGCAGCAAGTAGATGTTAAGCAGGCAGTTATCTCAAAGCTGTTTGTTTCCTCACTGCATTTCACATACTGAGTTTTTTTTTTAAAGTCCCACCTACCTCAGCAGTACATTCCTTTGCTTTATATTATGACAACCATATCAGAAAAAGCTTAATGCTAGAGCTGTCCCAGAATTTAAATAAAGGAACAAAACTGCCGTGGCTTCACAATTCACCGCAGCAGACAGAGCGCTTTCAACCACTCAAGTGCCTGGGATGAAGTGCATTTTCATTAGACACAAGTTACAAAGGCACACAGCATCTTGAAACAAGGACCTCAAGGCCACACATCAGGAAGATGCCTGATGAAAGCTTTGGACAATTAAATGCAATATAAGATCCTTCACTGTAAAGCCTGCCCAGTTCTATAAGGGCAGTTACTAGAGAAGTTGACCGTTTCCGTGATTCTTCTTGTCTGACTTTGTTCTTTCACTTTCTCCGTTCAAAAATGGGATTACCTCCTAGTCAGCAAAGACTCAACCGGAAAGGGGGTCAGCAACATGACTTCAGCCAAAAGCGAGCCCAGAGTTTCTCTGCGTCACTCACCATCAGAGGGCACTACCGTACTGCAATAGACCACTCTCACACTCTGCCAAGGAGAAAGCCTCTGATGCACCTAGAAAACACAAGCACAGCAAAAGGACAAATGTTGAGTCGCGCTGCCTGACAGAATCACAGCCCGCAGCCGCCCCCCCACCCTAACGCCTGCGCTGGGCATTTCCTCCTAGCCACCACCGGCCCGGAGCACCTGCGGGAACGGCCCCAGCTCTGCCATCTGCCTCCCAGCACGGCTCTCCTCTCGGCCAGGTTCACCTCTACGCGCATCACTCTCAAGGCTCTGAGTGTAAAGTGGTGAAGAATTAGGGAGCGCTTGATTAAGAGGTTCATTTTCCTCGGTTGTTTTCTCTGCTGAACTACATATTTTCCCTCCTCCTTACAGAGGGGGAAGCCAAACTAAGACACAAGTAGTAAACACACCTGGGCGTAGAACAAATTGTCTGAGGCAGAAACAAAAACCCTGATACTGAGCTATAAAAGGAGTAAGTCTAATGGAAAAAGAAAGTGCACGAACGGCTCTTATTCTTCAGTCTTGGTAAGGGACTAATTTGTTCATAAAAACAGGCAATCAGACCAATGTAAAGCCTATTTAAGATCTGTCTGCTAAGATGTTATTTTAGATTAGTTACACATGAACCAGCACATCCACCCAGTAAAATTCTGGCAAGCAGGAGCTGCGTTATAGAAAAGAATGAGAGCTGCTACTGAGCTCTATCTGCCCACAGTGGTACACAGTCAATGATCACCAAAAATTCAGCTGCCAAGTCTGCATTTCCATGAATGCAGCCCACAGATAAGGTTTGTTTCAAGATTTCTAATGGAAGCCTGCAAACAAAACCCGTTGTTGATTATTTCTGAAGATACTTTCAATAACTCATTTCAACTATCTTTTCTTCTGAAGCTTGCTCCACAAATCCAGGATAGTCCCACAGCTACGTCAGTCTTACAGTCAGGGCCTGTGCCCAGAAGGTCAGTGCTCTGACAGCTCTGGAAACTTGCTCTATTCTGCGCTGTATTTATGCTCCATTCAGTCCTGACAACAAAAATCACTTTTCATTGAAAGTCATTTTCAATTTTGCTTGTTGCTGCAACTGCATTTTCAGCTTCCCACAATTGAGTTAACAGCAAAGGAGAGCTCAGCTTTAAATAGCTGCAACTGCACACCAGTGGGAAACTGCCCGTTTTGAAAAACGTTTGGAAAATGTAACATGTGTAAAACACCTGTACATTGGGAATCAAAACATAAATTTGCCTTCTGGCACTTGAAAACAAGTCTTCTGAACTGATAAACACTCCCATGCAACCACAAAGCAACCAGGAATCTACCCAATATGAAATAATGATGTTTTAAACATGAATAAGCGAACTATCCACCCATGCAGGCGTGCATTTCAGGCAAGTCAAGGTACTTGACATCACTTGGTATCACTATTACACTGTGAAGCCAGTTTTGAGCTTGAACTCAGAATCAAGTGGTACCTGAGAAGGGGAAGCATCTGGAAATTTAAACAAAAAGCCCCACAACCAACAGACCTTTTCCTATTTGAATCCTTAAATTCAGTTGTTTTTCTTCTACCAAAAAAAAATATCACACCAAATATAAACAGTAAGTGGGACATGGAATGGTCTGTGTGAGCACTTTCCCAAAGGCCCATTTTCATATTTATTTCCCCTGATCATGCGGAGAGCTGTTTCTCATTGCTTTCCTTCTCCCTTCTGCATAGAAGCAACCATTATTTCTGAAATACTGCTCGCTAGGAGCCTGCCTTCCTACCACATTTGCACAGCAGCCCATGCATTTTACTAGCTGCTCTCAGAAAATCCTCAAACACACCAAATCCAGTTTTATCTCACCACAAAACAGCTATATATCTGAAAGATATTACCAGCTTGCATCTGCAACGAATTTACCTTAAGGCCATGAGCATTTGACAGGCATAAGCTCCAGTCTGCCTGCCTTCACACAATACAGGCAAGAACGGAAAAAGGCAAAATGGGTTGAAAAGCAGGGCATGTCAGCTGACCAATGGAAGGGCTGAGGCATCCCCGGACTTAATGTCTCGGACCATTTCTCTCACCAGCCACACAGCAGTAACCAGCACTACGTTTTAGACAAGGAGATACTGGTTGAACTACTCCTATCTGTCACTGCAGCAGATCTGAATTGTGCCTTATGATGCTGCTCTCAAAAGTCTCCTAACTAGGGAAACAGTCTCCACTGGTTAGAGCAAGAGGAACAAATGAACACAAACTCAGCAGAGACCTAAACATCATCTCCCATCTGGGCGTGCTTAAGGAATAAGCGATCATTTTTATTCTTGAAGAGCAGCTACCATTTTCAAACAGGGTTGGAGAAAAATGTCAGAACCTTTTATCCTATGTCCGCAATTCAACAGACACTGTGACAGAAGGTTGAAGTTTTGGATCAAAGTAAGCACAGGGTAGTGGAGAGTAACTTGTTTCAAGCTTGGCTGACTTGATCTCACCATCTGCAGACCATCAACAGCTCACTGCTTCGAAGTGTGGAATAACCACAGTGAGGTTTCAGCTGAGACTTCCAAAGCAAGTGGCACTCTGGGTCTGAAAAGCAATACTGAAATGAGGAGCTCTAAGTAACTTCATGACACTGCGTGCCCAAACACAGCACGAGCAGGAATTCACTTCTTGCATCCATTCAATTCTTCCTCTCCTCTCTTAGTGTTGGTAGGAGGCTCAGGGTTACATGGCAGCTTCACTCCCAGAATGATCAAAAGAGCAAGAGTTAAAAACAACAATAACCACCAAAATAAAAACCCACCAACAGCCCTTTGTCTACAATAGCACTTTCTCTCCTGCCTTATCAGGGCCTACATCAGACAATCTGAAAGCAAAACACCAGCATCTCTAGAGGTCTGACTAGTTAGTTCAAATCTACACCAGCAACAAAGTTAAACAAAGCTGAAACTGGAAAAATCAGCCTTTTAGGGGCCAGCAAGTACGCTCCAGCAGGAAAAGAGGGAGCAATCTGGCAGAGCTCACCTTCTGCATGTTGTACAATTAGCAAACGAAAGGACAGAGTACTAAGCCTCCAAGGGTGACTGCAGTCAGAGAAGAGTTATAAAAAAAAAAAAGCAAAATATTAAAAGGTGCATCTATCTAAAACATGAGTAAAATATGCTGCTAAGTCATTACCTGGAGTGCCATTAACCATCATGTGCAGAGCTTCTGTGAAATAGAGCCTTGTCTGTGTAACAAATTCACACGATGAGAAATTAACAAGGTACATTTGCAAGCACCAGCTTCATCACCCACTAACAAGGGGCCTCCTCTGCAGAAGCTACCTCAAGCCACTGGTGAAGCAGCTCACCTTCCTAGTTGCTATTTCTCTCTCCCCACTGTCACAGCACCAAAAAAAAAGAACTGTGACTGCTCAGTAAACCTCCCCGCCAGCATATCAGCAACAAAAATCGCTGCAAGCATCCCTGAGCTATCACATCCGCCCCATCCAAGCACCCCAGAAGAGCTGAAGGGCTCCCTTTCTTGATCCTTTCCTTCTATATTCAGCCTGTGACATTCCAATATCTTTCAAATGGTGCTTCTATTCTAAGTCATCGGGTCCTGCCCTCCCACTTTGCTCTCTCCTTACACCAGTGTGTTTTTGCAAGCCAGAGTGGACAGAGTGAAAATGATGTTCTGAGCAGAAATCTAAGGCACAGGTTGCCAAAGGGCTCACAGGGCTGCTCCTCGCACTTCCCTTTTATTCTCATTCCTCTTTCTCAGCATTCTTGTCCTTTTCTCAGTTCCACAGGGGTACCAACATCCTCACTGAGGGGCTCATCTCCACCCTGGGGAGGGGCTACAGGAACCTTCCAGAAACTCCCCAGATGTTCTAGAACTGGCTGAGGGCAGCATTGCCAAACCACAGCTATTGAAACAAGTTCTGCAAGGGAAATCCTCAAGTACAAACCACTGCAAGGCCCTAAGCACAGACAAGGCCATTTCAAGTCTCTATACCAACGCTGACCCTGGAATTGTAGCTCAGGCTCAAAATGTGAGAAGTGAAGCCATCAGGATGAGACAACCCCTCTCCAGCAGCCCCTGCCCAAGGGCCACCAAGCAGCCACAGCATAATGCCATGCCGCTGCCTCAGCCAGCACAGCCCTGCTCCTGTGCATCTCTCTCCTCAGCACCCTCCTGGACTCCTCAGGGCCTTCTGAAAAGATAGAAATGGGTCAGTTGGCATCAGAGTGCTTTTCTCGCCTTCTTTTCCACCTCCACTCTTCCCAGACATCATCTGGGCTCTATGGCCTGCTTCCAGGACTTCTCTCAGATTTAGAAATGGCATTTTACAATTGCACTTGTTCAACAAATAAGAGTAACCTTGTACGGAAGGCTTCCTCCGACTTACTGCTGCTACAGCCTCCGGGGATGTCCACACAGGAAATATTACGTGAAATATTTCCTCCAAGGAACACAGTGTGCTTCTGTTTGGGAGCGTGGCAAACCATAAAGTACGCTCTGCCACCCTGATACAGCCCTTACTGTTGCAGGAGAAGTGCTCAGCCTACAAATTTTTGATGCCCTGCAGCAAAAACGCCAACCATTTGAGCACAGATGGGAATGTGGCAAGGAAAGAAAGTCCTCACTGCCATTTTCACCATCCAGCTCATCTTTAGGAAGCTGACCAAATCCCACTGGTTTAAAATCATTTCTTTCTCTTCACCAAGCACATCCTTTCTCATATCCCACTCTCAAAGTCAGATTTTGCCTCAGAAAGAACACTTTGCACCCACTGCCTCCACAGGGCAACGCTTCTGCGGATGAAGGTCAAGCAAACGAGAACCAGCCTGAACACCACGACTGTTTTCTGTATTTATTTTTAAACTGGGCTGAGGAGATGGACAGAGAGGAGGCAATGCCAGTGAGATGTGGGAAGTGTTAATCTTGGCATTTTGAAGCTCTTGGTACGACCTACACATGAGCAAACGGTCCTCGGTTAACCACTCTGCTCGTTCCTGTCTGAATTTTCTCCCAGGGTTAGGACAGAGCTACATCACATCTGCTAGTAGAGGAACACAA